AACAAACACTTCTCACAAGATGACAGACATACAAGCAGCCAACAAACATATAAAGCAATTCTCATTACTAATCATTGGAGAAATGAAAATCAAAACCACAGTGAAATACCATCTCACACCAGTCAGAATGGCTATTATTAAAAAGTCAAAAAACAACAGATGCTGGTGAGGCTGCACAGAAAAGGGAACACTTATACATTGTTGGTGGGAATGTAAATCAGTTTAGCTACTGTGTAAAGCAGTTTGGAGATATCTCAAAGAACTCAGAATATCATTTGACCCAGAAATCCCATTACTGGATATATACCCAAAATAAAACAAATCTTTCTACCAAAAAGACACACGCACTCACATGTTCATTGCAGCACTATTCACTGTCGACATTCACAAATATATAGAATCAATCTAAGTGCTCAATAGTGGAGTGGATAAAGAAAATATGGTACATATACACCATGGAATACTAAACAGTAATAAAAAGAATGAAATCATGTCCTTTGCAGAAACATGGATGAAATTGGAAGCCATTATTCTAAGTGAATTAACACAGGAACAGAAAACCAAGTACCTCATGTTCTGACTAATAAGTGGGAGTGAAACATTAGGTAAATGTGGACATAAAGATGGCAATGATGGAAACTGGGAACTACTAGAGTGGGAAAGGAGAAGGGGCAAGGGCTGAAAAACTACTGAGTACTGTTCTCAGTACCGAAGTGACAGGATTACTCATCCTATATCTAGGATTTTATTGCATCATGCAATATACACAGGTAAGAAACCTGTTCATGTAACTCCTGAATCTAAAATAAAAGTTGAAAAAAGGATTAAGAACAGACATTAGGATCCACCTACATTCACATTCATAAACTCCTGCCTTCTTCCTTCTTCTCTGTTTGGATGTGCAAGTCCACACCTGCATGTGCACACACAGGCGCCTGTACACACACACATACACACACACACACACACACACAGTCAGTTCCACACAGTCTGGTAACTGAATCCCATTCTGTGGCTGTTCAACGTCAGATAAGTAAGCAATACATCCTCTTCCATGATCAAAAGTATAAGCTGTAGGGAGTCAAAGACTAAAACCAGAAAATTTCAAGGGAAGTTTGAGAGGTATGGAAAAGGTTCCAAAACAAGGAGTTTAAAATCAGAGCCAAGGTTTGTGAATAAATAACAGGGTTCGCGGTGTGGCGGTTTTAAAATATGCCCACAAATACTTTGACAATCCTTTTTTTTTTTTAAGAGGTGGTGCCTAATTCCTCTCCCCCTTGATTGTGGGCTGGAATGAGTCTCCTCTAAGGAATAGAATATGGCCAACGTGAAAACTCGATCAACATTTGATCGAGTCACAAAAAGCATTATAGCTTCCTCCTTGCTTTCACTCTCTTTCTCATCACTTGACGTGGAGGATTCCAGTGGTCATGTCATAAGGCCACTCACATAGACTGTAGAGAGGCCCACAAAATGAGAAACTGAGGCCTCCTGCCAATCGCCACAAGAGTGAGCCATCTTGGAAACAAACTCCCCAACCTTCAGACAATTACTGGCCCAGTCAACATCTTGACTGCAATCTCATAAAAGTCCCTGAGCTAGAACCACTCAGCTAAGCTGCTCTCAAATTTCAAACCACAGAAACTATGAGATAATAAACATTTGTTATTTTAAGCCACTAAAATAAATAGAAATCCTGATCTAGACATAGCTCCATATTTCGTATTTAATCGATCCTTCTTGTTGCTTGCAAATTTGCAAATGAAAATATCAAATAGAAAACTTAGTCTCACATACTTCTTAGAGAGTGATTTTCTGCTGTTTTGTGGCAGTTAACATATATTTGGATTTAGTGTAGCTCTTTGATTTTACATGTGAAAATTCTCTAGGAGGACTTTGTGTTGTTTCATGCTGCTTTGTGGGTGTCTACATTACATCAGTATGGTATTCTGTCCTTTTAGTTCTTAGCCAGGTTGAGAAGAGAGCATTTACCAGCAGCCCTTTTCCATCCTAAGAGTGGAAAAACTACTACTCTTACTGATTCTTCACTCAGCTTTCTCTTTACACATCTCCATGCTAATTGTAAAACTAAATCAAACTAAGCACACAGAGAAGGAAGTTGAAGGGTAGGAGAAGAACTAGAATTATACGTTGTTTAGAAACCAAAGGAGGCAAAATGTTTGCTCAAGGGGGGTTATGAAAAGTTTAAGGTTACTGAAATGTCATCAATGGAAAGTAAATGCAGAGTTGTTCATCTGTGTGTTACATACCAAACACAAGTGGGAATATTAACATCAGATAGGAATTTTCTTTAACAAATTATTTAAATGATTTTACTAAGTGTACTTGAATTTCGAAAGGCTGAATATTGCAAGCAATGAATAAAACCAATAACCAGGGGGATAAAAGAACATGCTTAAGACTGAACATAAGTGGATTCTATATAGCTCAAATGGGACCATTTACTTAGTCTTAAAATTAAAATAAATCACATGAAAGATTTAGTGTAATCATGCCACAAGACATTCACAATTCATTTGCATTTTTCCTTTGGCACTATGAGTCTCAAGGCATCTAGCACAACTATTCGAAGGCAAATAGACTTATTTAATGTTTATTGCTAATGATCAACATGACAAAATAACTCAGACAAGATAATGGCTCAGATTTTCTGTGTTAAGCCCATAATTTATTTAGATCCCTTGTGCACAATTGACTGATAAATATGTACTTTATTCATTCCATGAAAAATCTGATAGAATTTGAGTATTGGCCAATATTAAGTGGAATGACTTTGCTACAGATGAAGTATAGCATTAAATGCAGAGAAACCTTGTTTTATTTTATTGTATTTTTTCCCTTTATGATGGTTGTGCAAGAGTTCAAGAATACATAATTCTCCATGTTAACTTCAATATTTACATAGGGACCCATGCTTGCCTCTCTCTGTCTAACTTTTTCCCTGGTCTTGATTTTCTCCTTTGTATTTTTCTGACTCCACATGACGAACCAGACTGTAAGCACTGATGCAATCACCCACTTACTGAGCAGAGAAAAGGACAAAGGACAAATCAAGAACGCATGAGACACCATAATCAGTTCTTCCTGGTCTGCCACTGATCACAGGCCCTGGTCTAAGGTAATGTTTCCCTCCAGTTATTTGTAATGTAAGAAAATAAGAATGTTACAGTAGTTGCTAGTTGCTATGGTTAAATATCCTGAGGTGCTTGGTGAAAATGCAGACTCGTGAAACCACCCCCTGATATTCCATCTAGTTTGGAGAGGTGGCCCAAGAATATACATTTTAATAAAAAATCCATGTAGTATCCTTGAAAAACCCATGCAAGGTTTGATAACACAGGCTTTGTGGGATACAACTATGTTTTATTCTCAGTGCCAATAATTGCATAAGTTACTTACACTAGCTAAACTTTAGTTTGATTACATATAAGAGTAGTAATATCTACCTCCTTCGTTTAATCTTAAAATATTAATTTAAAAATCCTAACAATTATTGCATAATAAATGGCATATCATTAGTAGTAGTATCCATGATTATTGACATTATCATTATCACCATTCTGTCCCCATTAATTCTGTGTATTCGGTTTAGGGAATACAGCAGTTCTACCGGAAGCAGTAAGAAATCTTTTTTTTCTTTTTCATTTTAAAAAACCTACTTAAAATTAAATGTAGTGCAGTAAAGAGATGTGTCCTAAGTTACCCTTAAGTTTCTTAGCTTTTAGCAAGAATTCTTTAGCTCTATGTGGTAATTCTCTTGGGCTGCTCAAAGGTAGTACATGGTTCTTTCATGTTTTTTTAATAAAAAACAATTATTTGATAAATTTTTTATTTGTTGATAATGTCAGAAAATACAGAAACAGTGGTGCAAATATTGTTCACTGATTTCCTTATTGAACAATTTTAGTTACCTTTTGACATGCATTTAAAAGGATTAGGCTGCCTCATAAATATACAGGCAGTGCAATGTAATAGGTTGGTCAGGGTGAGATATAATAAATGTGCACATTTAAAAAATGTTATCTAAATTCAGAAGCTTCTAAACATGAAGGAAAGGAAACAAAAGCTTTGCTTATATCTCTGGCACCAGACAAAGACACCTCCCCATTCATGTAATAATAAGGATAATAAATACGACATCCTACTTCCATTTTTCTATGCTATGATATGAAAAGCAGTAAGTGTGACATTCCAGAGTCAGAAAAAAAACACAATGCAGTGATTTCACCCTAACAAAACACATGGAAAAACAAACTAAAATATTACTTTTACGTGTCATAATCCCCTTGTTTGTACTGACACATACATTGGCACTGAACATCAAATTTCACTTGTACACAAATAGGAGGACTTCTCCAATCAATAAGAGAGTTGGATTTTGCCAAATAGTGCCAAATGTAAACACAACATTTATTGCAAATAGAAAGTTGCACATAATGTAATCTTACTTACACTAATTGGCTTATATTATCAGATCTATGAATGATAATGTTCTTAATAAACCAATATTAGAATAAAATCTGAAGCACACCAATAAACCTGCTGTTGGAGTTATTTAATGTGGTTTTACACAAGGAGCATGTGCTGCTAATTTAGATTCCGTTGACACAGCAGATTGTTATAATTCTAATAACTGTGTGTGATGCTACCCAATAGATGATAAGTGAGGCAGGTCAGTTCATCAGGCTTTATCTCTAATTAGTACTAAAAACGCACGCTGAGCTATAGCAGAGAAAAGACTTGACCTTGCTAAATTACACGCGTCAGAGGGAAGGCAAATGAAGCTCTATTTTCAGAGAGAGGTAGTCTTTTACACAACAATGGAAAGGTACCCACTTTGGGAGAGCCACATCCACCATCACAATACAATGTATCAAGTCAATCCACAGTATTATTCCTAAAGAAAGAGCTGTTATTCTTTCTGAATTAATCTTTCTACCAATCTTTCTCTCTATCCCCCATAAAAAAAGCTAGATTACCTTTCTCGCAGTGACTTCCTGTGAATCCAGATGGACAGACACATTTGTTAGGAGCCACACACGTCCCACCGTATCTGCAGCCCTCTTCACAGAAAGCTGTTGCAAGAGAACAAAGTATTTATCTTAGATAAAATGCAATAAATAAATTCATGGTAAACAGCAGCAGCATTGACGCAATTCTTTGTTGCATAGGGAATACACTGTACATCTGTATTGATACACTAGTGTTACCATTTATACTCTGGAGTATAACTCCATTAACTCTTACTCTCATTTATACATTTGAAATCAAATAGTATAGATTGAGTAACTAGGAAGGGTAAGGTCAGGATGAAGCTGAAGACCTTTTTAATGTTCGTCATTTTGTAATCTAATCTTTTTCATTAAACATCTCTTATGACAATAAAAACATTTATGTTCTTTAAAAAAGATTTCTGATAGTCGATATAGTTTAATATTTATAATATAAATGTAACTAATTATTTACATTTGAGTATGTAGGCTGTTTCCAATATTTTGGTAACAAAAACAATGCCTTGTCCTGATAGCTAAAATGCTCAGCACAACCTAAATTATTCCTTTATGAAAAATGCCTCATTGTGGAAATGCTGGTCCCAAGGGTATAGATTTTTAGGTTTTCTTGATAAGCACTGCAAAGCTATTCTTACTCCTTCCCAGTGATATCCTGTCAGCCTTCCCAGAACAGGTTAGTTCCCCTTAGTACATACTTGCATAGCATCAAATAGCTCTATGAACTTCTCCATTGCAATAGTAAATACGATTGTATATTTACATATAATTTATTACCATCTCCTGCTTTATCAACTGAACTGCAAGACCCATAAGAATAAGTAGCATAGTTGTTTTTACTCACCACTGTATTGTAGCCTCAGTATCTAATCACATAGTAAATGCTCAAAACAGATTTGTTAAATGAATTAATCTACATTCTACAGGTTGTTCTGATAATAAAACTCTCACTCGAACAATTCTGCAACTCTTTCATTCAATTAATTTAATATCAAACCTTGCTGGATAACCAAGAATTTAGTGTACTAAATGTGCAAAATTTCTCATTAATGAAGATGATTGTACCTGTTGACCCTGAGTTTATTTTATTCATAAGAAAGATAGGTGAGCAAGTGTTTTAAATTTTAATTGTAGTTTGAAAATGACATCCTAGAAAAATGTCATGGTTATATTTTGCCATGATCACTCAAAATTAGTATGAGTTTAACTTCAAAAGCCACATGATGTGTTCAGAAAGTTGAACACTATTCCAAATACGTAGAACTCCTCACAATATTGTTGTTTTTCACATCATTTAATATCCCTTGAATGATTTAACATTTCATAGCTTCAGCAATTAATTTCATCTTCCTTTGCCTCTGCCAAAGGACAATGTGTACCTTAGAATTCAAATATCATTTCCTATTTCTAGCATCTTAGAACATTTCCTATTTCTAGCACCTTAGAACAATTCTAAAAAATTAGACAGTACCTGCCATGGTAAGTTCATCCAAAAAACCAAAATATATAAAATATACATGATGCATGCAAAATCTCTCGTCCCAAAAATTACACCTTGTGGGCTCTGGTGACTGACATTTCAAAGAACAGTAAAGTGTTTTTGCAAGCTAAAAATAACAGATGGAAAGACAGTAAAAAAAGTTTTAAGTAGCACCAAAAGAAGGCAGGGGCTTGAAAAGAGAAGGCCCAGCTTCGGTTTCTTTAGTGCAGAGTTGAAACAGCACTTCATCTAAGTTTTGCAGACCTGGTTAGGAGACTTGAAGCTGCTTCATGGTAGGTATACGCGTTTGATTTACTCGGTCCTTAAGTAGAAATGATGATACAGTGGAAGGTTTTATGAGGAGAGCATGAGATGTTTGTGATGTTCTAAGGATGTGCAGATATTAGAATAAACAGAGTAGTATGATGATTAAATGAGTTAACATTTATAAAGAACTTAAAATGGTGTTTGGCACAGAGCGTTACATAAGTGCCCTGTTAAATAAAATTAACTGATAACAGAATTGTTATGACTGTGAAACACAGACCAGGAACAAACTGTCTAATATCCAGACAATATAAACCTGATATTAAAATACCATCTAATCATCATCATACAAGGCGTTGAGCTTCACCAAGATGGGCTCAAGGCATCCCTTTTTATTTATGCTTGATTTGCTTCCTTTAATAAGGGTAGTTTTCGTTCTTATCATGGAGGTATCTGATAGGTATATTGTTCTTATTACAGAAATGGTGAACTTGTGCCCTAAGGCTGCATAGGTAGAAAGTAGCAGAGACAAGATTCAAGTAAACACATCTTTGCCTTCGAAATCTTACCCCTTCTTTATTTGTTACAATGTGGGTTAATCTACAATCCAGTGTTCACAAAGGTAGGTTTATTGTATTTTTGAAATAGTTCCGTAAGGGCTGAGGGAACTGACTAAAAATTAAAAGGAAAAAAAAATGCCTAAATTGCACATATTGCATTAAAGGATGGGGATGAAGAGCTATTCAAGTTCATGTATCTATTATCTAATTTCTGTTTTTGCCTGAGACTCGTTACATTTCTCCCAATCTAGGCACACATTATTTTCAATGTGATTTATCTGAAATAACCAAGAAAACCATTCCCTAGCTGAACCTTAGACAATATACCAACGTAATTTCAACACAGAGCAAATAAAGAAGGGATATGTCATCAAAAACATAAACTATTTTGTGGAAATTAAGATCAATTCAAGCTTTATTTGAATATCTAATAAAATATCAGAATATACTGATGTATCTTAGTCTAAAGATTGTGCATGGATTATTCATATATGGATAGGCTCTTCTTGATTGACTATGAACTCAGAAATTCAATGAAAAGGACTCTGATATGCAGAGGATTAGTAATTTGCACAGCATTATTTAGTTGATGGCAGAAGCAAAACAAGGAGCTGGGTCACCACTACATTGTCTTTCTAGTTTGTGAGGAGATGGGCTGGTAGAAATTATACGGTTCTAATTCTGGCTCTATATTTATTAATTGTATGAACTATAGCAAATCATTTCACTCCTCTGTGCCTCAGTTTTCTCAAGAAAAAAGCAGCTGAGGATAATAAAAACAATCATGCTGGAGGATTAAATGAAGTTACAAATGTAGACCACCCAGCACAAGGCACGGCCAATGGAAGGTGCTCACGAACTGGATGTGATTGTTGTTATTTATCACCAGGATTCTGCTTTTCCAGATAACAATACAGTTGTGAACCAGTTTATGATCTAGATTCTAAAGATGCAGCAGTAAGAAGGCAAGTAAGAAGCTCCATCCCTGTGCCATGGAGCTTATTCTTTAATGAGGACTCCTCATCACTCCTTCCTTAACTGAGTGACCTTTGTAATATCACGTGGTTTGCAATGAAACTTAGAATTATAGCTCCTTTGAAAACTCAGAGAAACTCAGGTACCATGGATATATGACTTCATATGTTGGTTCCTCTTCAACTGCTACCCAGATTGTGAAGTATGGCAAAAATAGATTTTGTGTGTGTGTGTGTGTGTGTGTGTGTGTGTGTGTAGTAAGATAAACCTGAATCTGTCATTATAGTGCCATTTGTTATTAACTTACTGCCCTGGAGGAGATGTTAGATTGGATCAACTGTAAAATGGTATGCTTCTAATATTGAAAGAACTCTTTTCATTGTGCAAGAAAATAAATCACAAAACTCATATCTGAGAGAAGTTCAATCCACAGAAAGAGTATTTTTTATATTAAAATATAAAGTATTCTCAGCATGTAAAATAAAATGTGGGTATTAAGGGGAACAAAATGGGAAGGCGGGTTTGCAGATGCCAGGTTTGTGGATGTCCAGTACCATCACCATGTACTCAACTCAACAAAAGCAGTTCTACACTAATAAAAAGTAATAGCCCTTCACTTTCTAAACACTTCTCATAATCTTCTTAAAGTTTAATGGCATAAATGTAGTTCCTAGTGACACCCTGAAATCCTGAAACAGTAAGTAAACATACAAATTTCAACACCATCTGTTAGAAGGTAAACCTTCTCTTCCTTCCTAGTTTCCTTGAGGAAGAATTTTCCTTGAGGTAGCATTTTCCTGAAGCTAATTTCTGACCTCTGCCTGCTGACTTTGCTCATTCTACCCTATGGAGGTGGAGGGATTTATTTTGTTGGTAAATTTGGGAAAGATATATATCAGGATGATGCTGCTCAAGTGGGAGAGGCAGGAGCAAGGGCTGGGAAGCTCTGTGTGATTAGAAACAGACAGCTGCTGCATTTTCAGCTTTATTTTGGGTAGCATGTTAGTAGGTATGAATCATATTATTAAAAATACCTATTTATTTAAATAAATAAAAACTGGCCACTATAGACAGTTATTACAAGGTGTCAGGAACCAAAGATTATGATTAAGTTAACCACGTCCACCTAAAATCCAAAACGGGAAGGAAATCATTAAAATCTGGTCATGTTCTGCAAAGGACCAGGCCTGCCATTCTTCTTTCTTGAGAATGAGCTGACTTCAGACATTATCAGTTTTCCTGACTTCTTTATTGACACTTTCCTCTGGAACTCAGTGGATAAGTCAGTCTTCTTCTGTGTTCATTTTTAGCAAGCCAGTTCAGTTTACAGACGGACATGTTCTCCAACCCAGCTCCGTTAATAATAAAGGTGATATAATCACCTTTACATTTGCTTTTTGGTTTCATTCCTCACCTTGTTCAAAGCATATTTATCAAATGCCCCTCAAACATTTTTGGTTGTTACAAGATGGAGGGAGGAACAATGTGGTCTTATTACTAGGTGAGTTGAGACCATGAATGTTTAAACATCTTACAATGCACAGGACAGCCCTATACAAAAAAGAATGATCTAGCCCAAAATGTCAATAGTGGTGAAGTTGAGAAACTCTGCTCCAACTTTACACAACTAAGTTTATGAAGTGTCTTCAGGAGCAAAATTTTGTTATTTTAATCCTGTTTTCCATTCTTCCCCCTCAAACTCTCCCCCTAAATAGTTTAAAATATCGAGGAAAGAGTAAAACTCAGTAACATGCCTAGTTGAATATAAAAACAAACATCCAGAT